AGGGTCTATTGGTTTATGTAATGGAGAGTGTGTGTGGGTTTTTTGTTGTGGAAACTTTTTGTTGGAGATGAGAGAAAGTTTGTTGTTTGTTTTTCTCCTGAATTTCCGGTTTTGATCAATCATGCAAGATTTTGGTTTTGGACCGGTTTTGAATTGCCCAAACTTTGTTGAGAGGAAACAAAGTGATTTTACTCATGAGTCATGACTGTCACAAAGAAGTTTTAAAATCAAAAGCTGAGTCATGACTTCTTCGAGTTCTTACAAGATTCAACCTTTGAGCTCAAAACAGATGCCACAAGGATCGAAAATGCTGACAAAACTGCTGCTGCAAATGTAATAGCGGAAACATACTCCGTATGATCCCTGATTCCTGCAGGGATTTCCCAGACAACAGATCTTGTTTCAGTCTTCAATCCGCCAATCGACAAAACCATACATTTTCTTTGTTCACGTTGCCGGTTTTGTACATGGCTCGAGCATAAGAACAAGTCTGGCTCTCCAAACTCCACTCTAGAGTATCCACTCTCTTCCAGAGGCTGGAAATGATAGAAAAACAACGATCCAAATCTTATCGATATTTTTATCAAGACAAGGTATACAAAAGCTTCCTTATTCGATCGGGTGATAGTTTACCTGATACCGAGCATGTAAAGGAAGCTTTAAGGTGATTTCACCATTTTCATAATCTCTAGAACTGATATCGACATGAATCTCAACTACCGATCTGTTTGATCTAAACGAAGGCAGCTCAAGATTCGTGTCTCCAAACACAGATACATCTCTAAAAGCTGCAAAAAGATCAAAGACTCCATCAGATCATTCATATCAAAAGAGAGACGTAGTATCTTCTTGAATTCTTTCTTTCTTAACCTCTACGTTGCTTAAGATTCTGAAGCTCAAAAGGATCAGCAAAAACTCCCAAAGGCAACCTTTCAACAATCACGAGTTCTCGAAGGTGAGAATCTGATTGAACAAGAAGCTTGATTGATGTATGTAGAGTACGATGTGAACCTTCACCAGTGATGTTTCTGTGTTGTTGTAACAATGATATTGCAGGAACAACAATGTCTGTATCTTTTCTAGAACATTCTTGAAGAAACAAGAAGTTTCGAAACTCTGAGTCTTCTAAGGAAGTGTGTGTAGTGGAATAAGATTGCATAATGTATTGATCGGAGATACATAAGAACGAAGCAGGGATATGATCGGAATTTAAGATCTCATCGGAATCGCCGTAATTTGTTCCAATCTATTAAAGGGAAAATTTGCAATCATTCACAGAGTTTAAGAAACTGTAATCCATCGAGAAGCTAATCTGATTCAGAGATTTGAGATCTCTAACCTGAGCAGAAGAGGTAGAATCCAAGCAAGAAATCGCGAAGCAGATGAAAATCAGAGGTGTAACCGATCTCGGTCTTTGGATACCCATTTGTTTCGGAAGCTCTTCTTCACTATCTGTCTCCGGTCTGGTTCCGGCGCCGGAGATCGAGCATTTGTACGAGTTTGCAGAGCCCATCTCAACCCGGTTTTGTTTGTTCGAAATGGGACGGTCCAGTCCATTATGGAAGCAACCAATTAATATGAAGAATATTATTTAAAAAATTCTCAATATATTAATAATTCGAGTTCTAAGAGACACATCGATTAAATTAGTTAATTAAAATATTTTAATTAAGTCTATATGTCATGTTAAAATCTCAACATATTTACATTAATTATTTGATATGAACTCACAAATACATGTGTTACAAATTTAAATCCAACTAAAATGTGAATTTTAATATTTTAAAATGTTATAACATATTTTTTTAACGACAAATCATTTACGGATATCAATTAATTTATAAAAATTTTGTTAATGTTCACTTGGATACCGTACGTGACTGATCATACACTTTTTTATCATACACTTTTTTTCTTTTATATCGCGTAACTGTATTCATATTACTCACGGTTTTGTTATAAACATACAACTTTACAAATTCAAATATCGATCATTTTTACTTTTTATTATTTCTTTGATTTTTATTTGAAAATATTTTTACATATTAACGCGATATTTTTTTTGGTTTTTGTGAACTCAAATAAGTTTGAAAGAACCGATAATCTAAAACGTATTGGATCTACATCTTACATTTAATTTAAGTGTCATGCAAATTAAATTTTGTAAAATAAAATATATCTTATTATATAAAGGAGAATGAGCGCGATGAGAGCTTGAAACGTAGGCAAAATTTTTAAGCATCAGATTGTGACATGTATAATTATTAATTTAGATTGTGACATGTGTCAATATTAACAAAAATGTTTAAAAATAAAAGAGAAATTTTTAAAAATACCACTTTTCAAGTGTCACTTTACAAAAATGTCATACTTTTGTAATCTTTACAAAAATGCCACTTTTTCAAAATTATTTTTTCTTTATATGATTTATGTTTGTGTTAATTATATTTTATTAGGGTTTAGTTATGAGGGTTTAGGGGGTTTTAGGGGTCAAAATATTCCTTATTATAAGATATTCAGGGTTTAGTTATGAGAGCTTGACACGTAGGCAAAATTCTTAAGCATCAGATTGTGACATGTGTAATTGTTAATTTAGATTGTGACATGTGTCAATATTAACAAAAATGTTTAAAAAGAAAATAAGGAATATCTTATTATATAAAGGAGAATGCGCGCGATAAGAGCTTGACATGTAGACAAAATTCTTAAGCATCAGATTGTGACATGTGTAATTGTTAATTTAGATTGTGACATGTGTCAATATTAACAAAAATGTTTAAAAAGAAAATATAGAATATATTCTAAACAAGGATTATGGACTAATAAAGAAAATGAAAAAAATCGTTCTACTAAACTATGTAATATTTCCAATATTAACAAAAAAAATAAAGAGTATATTATAAACAAAAGTTAGAGACTAATTAAGAAAAAAAAAACCGTTCTACTAAAATATGTAATATTTCTAAATTTTTTATATTACAAAATACATTCTTTCTATTATAAATTATCTAAATAGTTAAAGACAAAAGAAAAATGTCATATTTATAAATGTGAATTTGCTACTAAAAGCATAACATATAAATATTACGTAAGCC